CTAGCAAGCCCCTTAATATAACAATCTGCAACAGATTATTCTTTGGAGACTCCTGGACAGGAAAAAGTTTCCCCACCTCCCCCTTAATCGTAAATCCAAGCATTCTCCTAGACTTTGAATCAGTTGAAGAGAAACTCTTGCAAATCTCCAGAATGCACTGCAGATGGCAAGGTCTTCAGCTGTGATGATGATGATTATTGATTATATTTATGACTCATCCTTATTGCCTGAGTACTTGGAAGTGGCTGAGTACCTGGGTTGGGTACAGAGAACTCTTGCTTTGATCCCTGCCAGGTGCCATTCAAAAGATCAACAGCAAGTGATGGGTTGTGTCTTCTCCTACCCAAGGCCCAGAAGATGTGGTCTCAGAACCCTGTTCCATGGATTTAAGACAACATGTGGCTCTCATCCTCCCACTTTTACCCTCACAACATTCCAGTGAGACAGATTAGGCTTGCAGAAAATAATTGGCACTCAGTCTTTCCAGGAAGCATATTCTGAGTGGAACTTCAAACCCAGGTCTTCCTGGGCTTCTTCCAGTATACCAGCCTCAGTCACAGGAGGCCTGTGGCCTTCACATGCAGCTGAACTACATTTCCCAGCAGCCCCAGCAAGAATAACCAATGGTGGTCCCCCTACCCCATTATATAATCTTTTCTACCACCTCTCATCAGCTTACCTGGTCTAATGGTGGTAGAAATGATGCTTTAGAAGAACAGGGGTGTGATAGGCATTTTTTTTTTTTCCTCTTGGAAAATTCAACTAGGGACAATGTTCTCCTTACCCAAATCTCAAATATATTCACAATTCAGAGGGTGGCAAGAAGAAGGGAGGTTGGAGATGAGGCCTGGACAAGGCAACTCTATAAAACAGGCATCGTTCTCTGATTTGGATGTTCTGATTCGGATATTAATGTTTTCCCCAGGTAATTTACTGCAGGCTGCTAATCTGAAGATCAGTTTCAGTGGGTGAATTCTCCTCCTCTGCTTTTTGTAATCAGCAAGAACCGATCTTCTATCTCTAAGCCTATAGAGACAATTTCAACACTTGCGTGCCCGAAGCAAAACTTTTGCCTTGCTTTTGCGGTAAGACTGGCCCTGTAGAAGTATTTTCAAACCTGGGGGAGAGAGGCGCAGCTTTTTCCATAGCGCAGCACTAAACTCATGAGAAACTGAAATCTCTTCTCCTCAGCGCTCTCAATTGCAATGTGATGACATTGACTTACAGTGCAGGGTTAACGTAATGTAAGGCTAACAACCAGCTAGTATTGTTGAAGTTATTCCTACACTCTTGACAGAGCTTGGCCACTGTTCGTTGTCAAGGAACTGCGGTTAAAGTTTAGAGATTTATATCCAATGCGTAGGCAAGATGGGGATTTTCTATTTTTGTTTGCACTGCAGGTTTTCCTTTAACTATTTTAGGGTGCAAAGTTTTTGATTTGTTTTCTTCCCTGTCTCCAAATGGTGGATTTTGGACAGTTGGCTCGAAATTATCTTGGATTTCTCTCCCTGTCTGAAAGCATTAATCCAATAGTTTTCTGGCCAGCATTTTTTTTCTCTAAATGGAATCATGTTAAATCTGTTGATTAAAACAATAGGTTTTTTTTTAAATCATAGGAGAGCTAGTGTGGTATAGTGGTTAAGATGTTGGATTGGCACTGTGGAAACTCGGATTCAAGGCCTGCACAGCCATTAGACGTTGGCTGGGTAACTCTGAGCCAGTTATTCTCTCTCAGCACAACCTACCTCACAGGATTGTTGTTGGGAGAATTCAGAGAAGGGCTATGTAGGCTACCCTGAGCTCCTAAATAAGAAGCAGGCTCTGCATTGGATGACAAATACAATATTTAGATATGTCATCTCCCCTTCTCTTTCTGAAGTTGTACCAGTAAGAAAACTTGTTCTAGATCAGTGTTTCTCAATCTTGGCAAGTTTAAGATGGGTGGACTTCAACTCCCAGAATTCCCCAGCCA